CCGCACCGCCTCGCCGCGACCTGTCGTGGACAGGTCCGCCCGACGTGTCCCGGACATGTCCCGCAGGCATCTGCACCGGCACGCCGATCTGCAACAGCCCGCGCGACGCGGCCGGCCAGATGTACGCTGTCTGCGCTGGGAGCCCGCTCGACAGCGAGAAGGAGTGGCTGGAGAAGGGCGTCAAGGGCACAGTCAGCACGCGGACGGCGGCGCTTTACCGAGAGACGCAGCACCGCGTCACCGAGGAGGTGCTCAAGCGGCCGCCCCTTGAGCCCACGTCCACGACACGTCCACGACACGCCCACGACACGCCCACGACACGCCCACGACACGCCCACGACACGCCCACGACACGCACACGACACGCCCACGGCACGCCCACGACACGCCCACGACACGCCCACGACACGCCCACGACACGACACGTCCGTGCCACGTCCATGCCCCGCCCCGCAGGTGCTCAAGCTGCCGCCGATGCACCGCGTCGTGCGCCACTTTCACATCCGGCTGCGCCCGGCCGACGCGAGCGAGTACATGGGCGAGTGGGAGATCATGAGGCGCCTCCGCGTGCAGATGAACGCGGACGCGCGAGGGCGAGGCGCCCTCCTCCTCCTCCTCTCCTCGCGCCGCTCTAGTCGACGACGGCTCATTGCTAACGAATCAGCCAATCAGCCCCTCAGGCGCGCTCCTCATCGCGCTGCTCGCTAAGTTGCAGAAGGCGCGCACCGCCACGGCCACCGCCCCGCCCGCCCCTCGCCGACCAAGCCGCTTCCCCCCTCCGCGCAGCTCCGCCAGCTGATCGTCAGCCCTCGGCTCTACGCGGAGGGTGCGAGCGACGCGCGGCCTCGACGCGCTGCCAGGACACGTCCACGACACGTCCTTGGGACATGTCCTGCAGGCGCGAGCAACGCGCGCGGCGACGCGGCCAGCGCGATTGCGGCCGGCGGCTCGGGCTTCCTCGACGCGCTCGCCAGTCTCGTGGCGGAGATTGCGCCGCGCCACCCGCGCTTCGTCGTCGTGGCCGAGAGCGTGGGCATCCTGCAGATCTGCGTCGCGCTCGTGCGAGCCGCGGTGCCGCTGGAGCGGCACGGGACGATGGCTCCCTCTCCCAGTCCTCCAGTGGTCCATTCGTTCGTGAGGTGCCGCTGGAGTGGCACGGGACGTACGATGGGTCCCTTTTGGGGAAGGGGGGCAATCCCCTTTTAAAGGCCAACTGCCCCTCCCTTGAACCCCCCCCCTTTCCCCTTACCTTCACCCACGGCCCCCTCTTTGGATTTGCCCCCTCCTCCGACTTGCCCCCTTTTTCGCCCAGCCCGACAACGCCTTTGCGGCCGGGGGCCTTGCCCCCCCCCCCCCCCCCCTTCCCTCCCTCCACCGCCGCCCTCACCTCCCCCGCCCCCCTCTCACCGCCGCGCTCGCCGTCCCGCCCTCGCCTCCGCCGCCCTCTCCCAGGCCTTCCTCGGCTGCAAGTCGGGCGTGCTCGGGCTGTCGCTCAAGGCGGGTGGCGTCGGCCTCAACCTGGTTCCGGGCGTCACGGCGATGGTGATGCTCTCGCAGTCCTTCAGCCCCGCAGACACGCGCCAGGCCTTGGACGCGGCCCCACCGGCCCTCTCGAGCGATCTCGGGTGATCTCGGGCGATCTCGGGCGATCTCGGGTGATCTCGGGTGATCTCGCGCCAGGTCGAGAAGCGGATCCACCGGTGCGGACAGACGTCAGAGGCGGCCACCCCCCACCCCCCACCCCCACACTCGCAAGTTGCCGGCGCCCGAGATGGCCCGAGATAACCGAGGCGAACCGAGGCTGCGCGAGATAGGTATCCATCTACCACCTGCTCGCGCGCGGTTCGCCAGACTGGGCGCTGACCAAGGCGCGCGCGACGAGCCCGCGCTAGAGATCACCCGAGATGCACCCGAGATGCACCCGAGATGCACCCGAGATGCACCCGAGATGCACCCGAGATGCACCCGAGATGCACCCGAGATGCACCCGAGATGCACCCCAGATCACCCGAGATCCGCCCGAGATCCGCCCGAGATCGCCCGAGTCAGGTGCACGAGGACAAGCTCGCGCTCGAGGCGGGTGTCGTGAACGACGACTGGAGCGGCGTCTCCGCTGACAAGTGCTGGCGGCAGGCTGGCAGGATCGCCGACCTGTGCGCCGCCGTCGACCCGGCCACAGGCAACCTGATCGAGTCGTCGGAGCCGCCGCCGCCAAGGCAGGGTGGCGCCGCCAAGGCAGACGCGGCGGGGGCAGCGGGAAGCAGCAGCGGTGGCGGCGGTAGCGATAGTCGAGGTGGTGGTGGAGCGGCGGCGGCGGCGGCAGCGCAGCAGCAGCAAGCGCGGGTGCGTGTTCCTGCCGTCGCCCCACCGGCCCCGCCGGCGCGAGTGGTGCCGTCGCGCTTCTTTCCCGTGGCGGTGGATGATGGCGACGACGACGACGACGACGCGTTGGTGGGGCTGCCACCGCCACAGCAGCAGCCGCCTCAGGCTCAGCCAACACCGTTCGCGCCGCCGTTTGCTGCCGCTAAGCCACCGTGCCGATTTGGCGCCAGTTGCTATCAGACCAACCCGGTGCACCTAGCACAGTACTCTCACCCCGCGCGGCAGCAGCCGCTCCCGCCGTGCAAATATGGCGCCAGGTGCTACCAAACCAACCCCGCACATTTGGCCAGGTATTCGCATCCGCCGCGCAGCAAGCGGGATGAGCCTGAGGGTGGGTTTTGAGTATGTGTGTGTTTGAACAGTACGTCTTTTCGTTTGCATAGTAAAGAGTACCACCGACTGTCGTACGTGGTAAAAACACATTCATACAGTAAACGGCTGTCGGCAGCGAGAGGCGAGGGTGACGGGGTAAGGGGGGCTGTGTGGGGCAGCGACCGAGAACCTTGTACTACTTGTACACAATATTCTACGTACGCTCTGAGCCTCTGACTGAGCCGAATCATTTGCTTGGCTCCTGTGCGCCATTATGATGTATCAAGTCAGTCCTCACAACTCCGCCTAACGAAGCTCTGGCTGAGAGCCGCAAACTTCCTTGGCTCGCGCCAAGAGGCGCCTCTGCTTGGCGGTCCGTATTCGCCGAAGCTTCTCGCTTTCCCGTGTGCTCCTGTCAGGAGCCAAGACCTCTTGTGCGAGGTCGTCAAGCTCAAAGATTTGGCACCCTTCCACTTTGCCGTCCTCCCACCAGCCCAACTGCATTGTCTTATCCTTCCGTTGGTCACGCTCACGTCGGGCGACCTGAGCTTCTCACGCGCCTCCTCACGAGTGCACATTGCCCATTCCTCCTGCAGCGACTGAATGAGCGCGCTGGGCGCGCCGTACACTGTCGCAACGCTCGCGCGCGGCGATATTTGCGCCAGCCCGCCTTCCACAGCCACGGTGTCGGTCGGGCAAGGCGTGTTCGCGAGACCCTCGGCGGTGGCGGTGCGCAAGGCGAGCCACGCCTCAAAGCTTGTCCAGAAGCGGGATTGGTAGCCGCGATCGAGGAGGATGAGGACGGCGCAGCCAACGTACAGCGTCGACATGTTCTTCAACATCCGTTTTAACCCTTGTAAAGGCAGGCTTCGCAGAGGGGAAATCTGTACTCTCTTCTGTACTTTGAGGACGGGTACTTACAATATATAACGTCCCCAAAGTACAGCAGAGAGTACAAAAATAGATATGTAGGAAAGCTTGCGTCATCAGAGAATCTCGCGATGGCAGGCCCGATAAGGGGGCCAGCCGGGCGGGCGGGGCGCTGAGCCGGCGGCCGGCGGGCCCTATAAGGGCGTCGGGCCGGAGGACAGCGCAGGCGCTCGATAGGCGGCTGGCAGGCCCGATAAGGGGGCCAGCCGGGCGGGCGGGGCGCTCAACCGGCGGCCGGCGGGCCCGACAAGGGCGCCGGATCGGGGGACAGCGCAGGCGAGAACGCGGGGACGTCTCGCGGGATATGCGCTCAACCGGCGGCCGGCGGGCCCTATGAGGGCGTCGGGCCGGAGGGCAGCGCAAGCGCTCGACCAGCGGCTGGCAGGCCCAATAAGGGGGCCAGCCGGACGGGTGGGGCGCTGAACCGGCGGCCGGCGAGCCCGACAGGGCGCCGGGTCGGGGGATAGCGCAGGAGAACCTCACCTGTTGGGCCTAGGGGCCGCGGAGCCGACAGGATCGCTTGGCGATGGGCCTGTGGCGGCAAGAGCTTCACCATTGCTGCTGTCGGGGAGCAGCAGGGCTACCTGCTAGCCGGGGAGCAGCAGAGCCGACAGGATCGCTACGGCGATGGGCCTGAACAGAAACACCTGGTGCTGGAGAGCAGCAGGGCCGACTGGATCGCTATGGCGATGGCCTGGGGCGGCAACCAGAGGAATCCTTCCTGCGGCCGGGAATCGGCAGGAAACCTCACATGCAGGAACACGACGGAAACTGCTACCGCCAGGGACAGGGCGGTGGAGCAGTGGACCCGTGGCAAACGCGGTAACTGGGCGCAACAGGACCTACTTCCAATGGCGTCCTCAAAGGGCTTCACATAATACCGGACGCGACCGGCCTCGAAGGGTCTTATGGGGATCCGGCCTCCCCGCGTACGGCGAAAACCCTCAATATAAGAGCACCGACCACTCAAGGAAGCAACCCGACTATCGGTAAAACTGCTTGCTGTCACCCGAAAGGGCGACATGATGGTGTTTTGACGCGAGGGCGTGCGAGCGCTGCCGAAGAGGTGCGGAAATCACGAATTACGCCGGGTAAGCGGAATTCAACAAACTACGCCAAGAGCGCCGTCTTGGCACTTTACCGTCATCCCCGCGCCTCACGGCACTCATCTCAGCGCGCATCCCACCGTCCACCCCTGCGCCGCCGTGTGTTTTCTGTGTTTGGGGGGGGTCTTATGGGGATCCGGCCTCCCCGCGTACGGCGAAAACCCTCAATATAAGAGCACCGACCACTCAAGGAAGCAACCCGACTATCGGTAAAACGAACATCATTGCCGCCGATTTCCTTGCAGGACTCAGTCTCAGAAGCAAACCTTGCAGGACTCAGACAGACAGAAGCAAACCACGAGTCAGTTCACCTCACACTCGTGCGCTGCCCGCTCCGCCCGTCGCGCCGCGCCAGGCCGAGAGCGCGCCTCACCGCGTCCCCGCGCCTCACCGCGTCAGGAAGTCAACCACCATGGCGACATTCTCAAAGGTCGTGATGATCGCCGCCGCTGGGGTCGCAAGCGCGTTGCCCGTGAAAGAGGCGGCTTCCGTGTACCATACCTGCGACACGACGAGCGACTGCGCGCAGTACAAAGAGTGCCAGGGCCAGCAGTGCGAGTGCACGTCCGATCCCGCGTACAACCAAGAGCACCCCGGGCGCTGGTTCAAGCCGAATCAGTGCGTCGACAAAGACGTGGGAAGCACTTGCCTGCACATCAACAACATCATCGTGGAGAACAAGTGCGGGTTCGACATCGACATGGTCGGTTTTGGCGGTCCGGAGAACAAGTGCAAGCTCCCGAACGGGAAGAACGAGGGCGACATCCGCGCAGAGGACAGCTGCCAGACGATCAAAGCACACGGCAAGGACAAGCTGCAGAGCGGCACCCAGCAGCACGCCGCCTCGACACGTCTGGCCTGGCGGTTCAGCTGGCAAGGAGACAGCGACCCTGTCCACGGCAACCCAAAGCACTGCGCCGTGGTGGGTCCGGATGGCAAGTGTGCGGTCGTCGGGTCAAAGCTCACGAAGAACACCTTCATTGAGATGAACGTCGGTCTCACCGGGCCCGGCCAGGAGCTGTGCATCGGCGGCGGCGCCACGCAGGGCCAGGTCTCGCCCTCGTTCTCCAACTACCAGGGCTTCAGCATGTCCAGTGAGTACTACGCCACATTTGTTGACGTCGAGACGCCCGCGTGCGAGGACTACGCGGCCAAGTTCGACTACAAGGTCGCGACCTGTCCGAAGGGAGGGACACCCGCGGACTGTCTCAAGGAGGAGAACGTGGACTGCCCAGCTCTCCGCGACGGAGACCCCAACAACTCGCCCGAGCCGAAGCGCCGCATTGACGGTGACTGGAACAACAAGGATCTTTGCCCCGACCTGAACGGCGCCTGCGATGCCTGCATTACCGAGGCTCCGAACCTCCCCTCGCTGGCAGCGATGGGCCTGCATCCGATGGCATGCGATAAATTCAAGTATCCCGACGAGAAGATCCGGCGGATCTACGAGGCAAGCAAGTGCGTCGATCCGGTTAGCGGCCAGTGGGAGGTTGGCTTCTGTGGCCAGGACGACAAGAAGGTGGTCAACTTCTGGTGCGGCAGCCCTCTGGGCGATGCTTCGAGCCGCGACGCGTGGACGAAGTCCATCCAGCCGAACCACCAGGTGGCTGCTGGAAGCCTGCACGGCTGCCGGCAGAAGAAGGTGGACCTGCACGTCGTCACCTGTCCGAGCGGCGACTGGCAGATTTGAGAGCAGCAAACGGCGCAGGCGGCAGCCCCCTAGGATCGCACCTGTCTTCTGCGTTTTGCTTTGTCTACTGCGAGAGAGAGAGAGCGAGACCCATGGCTTCCGGGACGGCCCGGGTAAGTGTCCATGCCTGGTGTGTCTTGTTCAGTACGGTGTCTACGTATTAGTGATGTGCGCGCCCGTCTCCTGCTGTCTGTCTGGTCATGAGTGTACGTTCGTTCTCGTGTCTCCGACGATGTACCGTAGAGAGAGAGAGAGAGAGAGAGAGAGAGAGAGAGAGAGAGAGAGAGAGAGAGAGAGAGAGAGAGAGAGAGAGAGAGAGAGAGAAAGAGCAGCCCCCGCTGCCTTGGAGCACCTGGCGGCCGGCAAGTAAGTAAGTGAAGGGGCGTGAAAAACAGTCAGTCTTTCTCGGATAGGATGACACCGCTCGGCGCGGGCGCTGGGGTGGGACGAGTATCCAGTGCTCAAGTGCTCAAGTTAGACAAAAAAACGCCCAACCACTGACGGCACTCATCCACACCTCTGGCCATCGATGGCCTCTGGGCTGTGCAGTGACAAGGCAGTGGCGCTTGTGGGCGACTTCGACGAGTCGACGCCGCTTATGGGCGATCGCGTCTACATCCACTCGCTGGTGTCCAAGCACGAGCTCAACGGCAAAGCCGCTATCGTGCTGAGCGAGCCCAATGCTGACGGCCGTGTCGCTGTGCAGCTGCGTGAGAGTGACGCCAAGCTGCTTTTGAAGCCGAGCAACCTGACAAAGGTTGAGGGCTATCCAGCGGAGGAGCTGCTCAATGTTTTTGACGATGAGACTCAGCGCGCTCTCAAACCGCCGCAGAAGAAGGAGCTCTCCAAGCTGCTAAAGGCGATTCCGGTCTCGAAGCAGCTGTTCGGCGAGGTGGGCGAACGGGCCCGCAACGATGCCGCGCGGAGCGGAGGGCCCGTCGATGAGAGCACCTTCCGCGCGCAGCTCCAGCACTTCACCTGGGGGCTATTTGCCGACTGGGATGCAGAGCTCTGGGAGAATGTTTTGCTGGCCGGTGGTGCCGTCCTCGGAAGCCTCCTCCCAGCACCGCCTGACTACAAGGACCTGAGGCCCCTCGATGGCAACGGCGGCGCCTCGTGGTGTGAGTTCGACCTCTACCACCAGCGCAAGCGGCGAGCTAGCGACGAGCCGCCGCGCTCGCTTCAGCAGTACTTTCGAGGGACCCGCTGGCCGACGGCAGACATCGACCTCTTTGTCTACGGTCTCGACGCAGACGCTGCACAGAAGAAGCTGCTCGCCATCCTCGCGCGGCTGCAGGTGCAGTAGTGCACCCATCCCTCCTTCGCCCACACACGGCGCGGTTTTTGTTCCACCTGCCTGCACACATAACCCATCCGACCATGCCGATCACGCTCGCGCCGCACCCCTTACCACCGCACGCAGCGCACCATCATCAAGCGGTGCGGCGTGATGAACGACGTCTGCTTCGTCAAGACGCCCAACACGGTGACCGTCGGCTGCGGACTCATCGGCCGCACGTTCCAAGTGATCCTGCGGCTGTACGAGAGCAAGGCCGACGTCCTGAACGGCTTTGACATCGACTGCTGCTGCGTTGGCTACGACGGGACGCAGGCGCTCATCACCCCGCGCTGCATCACGGCGCTGCGCACGCGCATCAACACGGTCAACCTCGAGATTCGAGGCGAGTCGTACGAGTGCCGCTTGCTCAAGTACGTCGAGCGCGGCTTCGCCATCGGCATCCCGCTTCTCGACGCGTCGCGCATTGACCGCGAGCACCTCACCCTCAAGATGGAGAAGCACGAGTGGTACGACGGCGAGAGCCTGACCAGCGGCGACTGGGCAAAGTGGGGCGAGTCCGAGGGACTAGAGCGGCTGCTGATGGCGATCAGCATTGCTCGCCAGAGCGGTGGCGTGATTGAGCGCGCCTTCCCCGGCCGTCAGCGCGGCGGGACTGGCCGCGAGCGCACGCTGCAGATGAAGCTCGTGCCGTACCCGCGGGGGCCGGGCGGCTTTGGTGCTATCCGCGACAGCTACCCCTCGCACGACAAGGCTGGCAACCCCATCTGGCCCGCGACGACGAAGCTGGAGGCGATCCGCCGCTCCGAGAAGCCGTTTGAGGTGGCGTGGCTCGAGGGCAACATGCCTCGCAAGCCGCTGACGTGGGACGCGTGGTCGAAGAAGGCGTACCTGGGCGCAGAGCGCCGGGCGAGCTACGGGTACGACCCGGCGCAGTACCGCAAGGAGCGCGAGGAGCGTGAGGCACGCGAAAAGGCGAAGCGTGCCGAGGAGATTGAGAGCGCGCGCAGGGAGGCGGCGGCCGAGGCGGCAGCGGAAGCGGCCGACGCGCGCGCACAGATTGAGGTGATCGAGAAGCAGGCGGCCGAGAGCCAGGCCGAGCTCAAGCGTGCAAAGAAGGAGACGGAGGCAAAGGCGCGGCAGGCGTCCGCCGAGAAGAAGATTGCAGAGGCGAAGCTCGCCAAGGCGCGCGAGGATAAGGCGCGGCTCGAGGAGGCGGCCGAGGAGGAGAAGGGGCGCGTGGAGGTTGAGCTCTTGCGCACCCGGAGGGCGAAGGAGGAGCTCGAGATGGCCGCTGATGAGCAGCTCTGCTGCGTCTGCATGGACCGGCCCAAGATGGTCATGTTTGAGCCGTGCCGTCACGTCTCGGTCTGCAAGCAGTGCGCGCCTCGCATCGCCCAGTGCCCGCTCTGCAAAACGGACGCCGCGCGAAAGGTGGTCGTGTACCTCTAAATGCGGAGCGAGCGCCTTTGCCCTACCTGGCTGCGACCTAGCGGCATGACCTACGCCGCAGTTGTGGGGACGCTACCGCGGTTTTGCGCGCCTGCTCTCCACGCACGCTGTCCTCTCCGCGGCGGTCCGTCGCTGCTCTGCGGGCCCTCTTCTCTCTGTGTTTTGCCATACGTCAGTACCTGCATAGTACGCACTGTAGGGGGCTCCAACCCGACTCTCTCCACTCTGTAAGAAGACTCTCCGCCCGTGTCCACACACACACTACTTTGCCTCGAGCCGTAGCCTCGGCACGATGTTCATCGACTGCAGCTCCTGGAAGAGGAGCTTGCAGGCGTACGGGATCTCTAGCTGCTGCAGGTGGTCGCGCGAGCGGCACGGCTGGCACCACTGCGGCCGCGCTATCAAGCCGCACTTTGAGCAGACGTGCACGCGGAAGCCGTCCGACGAGGTCATCAGCCGCTCGTTGAGCAGCATCGACGCGCCGTACCCGATGAGGCAGTCGCGCTCCATCTCTCCCAGCCGCAGGCCGCCCTCGCGCGAGCGCCCCTCGGTCGGCTGGCGCGTGAGCACCTGCCTCGGGCCGCGCGCGCGCGCGTGCATCTTGTCGATGACCATGTGCTTGAGCTTCTGGTAGTAGATTGGCCCGCAAAAGATGTATGCGGAGAGCGGCTCGCCGCTCAGCCCCGAGGTCATGAAGTCCTTGCCGAGGTAGTGGAAGCCGTGCCGCACGAGCACCTTTGAGCACGAGTCGACCGAGTCGCCGCCAAAGGCGGTGCCGAACCGGATCTGCCCGTCGAGCACGCCCGCCTTGCCCGCGAGGAGCTCGATCATCTTGCCGACGGTCATGCGCGACGGGAAGCCGTGCGGGTTCATGATGATGTCGGGGCAGATGCCGTGGTCGCTGAACGGCATGTCCTCTTGCGCCACCACGCGCCCGACGACGCCCTTCTGCCCGTGGCGCGACGAGAACTTGTCGCCGAGCTCCGGCCGGCGCGTCGAGCGGATGCGCAGCTTGATGAGGTGCGTGTCATTCTTGTTGCCGGAGAGCATCACCTTGTCGACGTAGGTGTGGTCGTGGCCGTGCGGGCCCTTGTACGTGAGCGGCGTCGGCCGGTACGCGGCGGGCGGCAGGTCCGCCTCCCCGCCGGGCTGGTCCTCGCGCGTGTTGTTTGGCGTCACCTTGTTGACCTAACGGGGAGGCGCAGCGGAGGTCCTGCGAAAGTGCGGAGAGGGCGCGGGTGGTTTGGCGTCCGCTCGCTGACCAGCACGTCGCCGGGCGCGAGCCGCTCGCCGACACCGCAGATGCCGTCCTCCTCGAGCACGCGGTACCGCTGCAGGTTTGGCGACGGCCGCGGCTTGTGCCTGCCCGTGCCGGCGGCCGGCTCGGCGGGCGCGGCCGGCGGCGGCGCGGTGCGCTCCGAGGCGCCGTTGGGGAACTTTTTGAGCGGGCAGGTGAACTTTTTGAGCACCATGCAGCGGCCGAGCCCGCGGTCGAGCGAGGCGCCGTTCAGCATGAGCGCGTCCTCGATGTCGTACCCCGAGTAGGACATGACGGCGACCGACATGTTTTGGCCGGCGGGCAGCTTGTTGAAGCCGGTGAGGTCGATGGTGCGCGTCTTGACCATCGGCTTGTGCGGGTAGATGAGGAGGTAGAGGATGGTGTCGATCCGCTCCGACTGGTTGTACGCGATCGAGCCCATCGCCTATCTCGGACGATCTCAGCCGATCTCGGCTGATCTCGGACGATCTCGGCGATCTCAGCCGATCTCGGACGATCTCGGCGTTCTCGGCCGATCTCGGTCGATCTCGGCCAATCTCGGCCGATCTCGGCCGATCTCTCGGCTCGGGGAGGGGGGGCGGGGCCGCAGGCAGGCGGCCTGCTTGCCCATCGCGCACTGGTACGTGTTCCGCGGCGACTGGTTGTGGTGCGGGTACGGGATCAGCCCGGCACACACGCCGAGGATGGTCAGCGGGTCGATCTCGAGGTGCGAGTACCTGTGCGACGGCTCAGAGACGGCTCCGAGAAGGGTGCGAGGGTGGGTGGCGGTGTCGAGGCGAGGCAGTACGGCGCGGCTCGCGGCGGCGTCGCGCGCAGCTCGGCCTCGCGGACGGCGATCTCCGCCGAGTTCTCCTCGTTGACGTCGAGGTACTCGACGATGCCCTCCTTGACAAAGTCCGCAAACTCGCGCTTGCCGGCGGCCAGCTCGTCCATGTGCCTACGGGGTGGCGAGCGTGTCACGGCTGCGAGGCGCGGTGGCCGTCGGCTGTATGCCGCTGAGCCTCGGGGAGATGTGGGGAGATGTGGGGAGATGTGGGGAGGTATGGGGAGGTATGGCTGTGAGCCGCTGCTCGAGGAGTGTGCTAGGAAGTGTCTAGGAAGTGTCTAGGAAGTGTGCCGCTGCTCGAGGAGTGTGCTAGGAAGTGTCTAGGAAGTGTCTAGGAAGTGTGCCGCTGCTCGAGGAGGGTGCTAGGAAGTGTCTAGGAAGTGTCTAGGAAGTGTGCCGCTGCTCGAGGAGGGTGCTAGGAAGTGTCTAGGAAGTGTCTAGGAAGTGTGCCGCTGCTCGAGGAGGATGCGACCGTTGTCGACCACGAGCAGCGGCCGGCAGACTCGCCCGCTGTCGGACGCGATGTTGACACAGCGGTGGGTCGGGTGCAGCTGCACGGACACAAACTCGCGCAGCACGGCGGCACGGCGCAGCTGGCGCATCGTGAGCAGGAGCTGCTCCGGACGGCGGTGCACGCCTGGAGGACGACGGGCAGCCGAGGGCGGGAGTGCGGTCACGGGCAGCCGAGCAGCGTACGCGGGGCCCCTTCATGAAGGCGAGGGGGGGGTGCGGGTGAAGTGGGCGCGGCTGCAGCGGCACACAGCGGCAACACGGCCGAGTGTCGTCGGGAGCGGTCGTGGGAGTACAAGGAGCGAACGTGTGCTCCGCAGCTAGGGCCCGGGGCGTGGGGAGATGTGGGGAGATATGGGGCGTGTTGTGTGCTCCGCAGCTAGGGGTGCACGCCGAGGATGAGCCCATTGAGAAACACCTGCATGGGGAGAGAGGGGGGGAGAGAGGGGGAGAGGTGGGGAGAGAGGGGGAGATGGCTGCAGCCCATTGAGACACACCAGGTGCGCGCCGCGCGTGTACAGGTCGTCGGCGCAGAGCAAGTGCAAGTCTTCGACGCCGAGGTTGAAGCAGAGGCGGCGGATCGGCTCCTCCTCGTCGTCCGTGGTGACGTGGGCGGAGAGGGCGAGGTTCTTGACCAGCCCGCACGCCTCCCCCTCGGGCGTGTCGGACGGGCAGAGCATCCCCCACTACAGTCCGTCGTGTCGTGGACGAGTCATGGACGTGTCTCGGCTGGCGGCGGCGAGCACGCCGCCGCCCGCGCGCCTGCGAGGGCTGCAGCGAGCGCGGGCCGGACACCTACATGGGGAGATATGGGGAGATATGGGGAGATATGGGGAGATATGGGGAGATATGGGGAGATATGGGGAGATGTGGGGAGATGTGGGGAGATGTGGGGAGATGTGGGGAGATGTGGGGAGATGTGGGGAGATGTGGGGAGATGTGGGGAGATGGCTGCAGCGAGCGCGGGCCGGGCACCTTTCGCGTCTTTTCGAACTGCGACATGATGCGCGTCATCATGCCGAGCGCGGAGATGAAGGAGAGGCGCGAGAGCACCTGCGTGGCGCCGGAGATGTGGGGAGATGTGGGGCGATGTGGGGAGATGTGGGGAGATGTGGGGAGATGTGGGGAGATGTGGGGAGATGTGGGGAGAGATGGCGAGAGCGCCTGCGTGACGCCGGAGCGCTCCATCTTGAAGCGCTTGACCGACCAGTTCCCTACGGCGCAGCGTCGTCCAGGACACACTGTCACGGGGCCGTGCCGGGGGCGTGCTCTCTTGAAGCGCGCTCGGCGCGACGCTCGCCCGACGAGATGGCGGAGACGAACCCATTGGTGAGGATGTCCTCGCGCACCATCCGCGTGATGTCCCACTCGTCCCGCCGCGTAGACACCTGCACGACAGCAGGCGCACCAACTCGTCGTCTCTCAACTCGTCGTCTCCTCGCAAGAGTCCATCTCCCCCCCCCCCCCCCCTCTCTCTCCCCCGTCTCGCCTTTGACAGCTCGTGCGTGGCGAGGCGGCGCAGCTCGGCACACAGCTTCTTGAAGAGGTCCTATCATGTATCATACTGTTCTCATGTCGCACAGCTTCTGGAAGAGGCGTCATATTATTATTATAGAGGTATCATACTATTATTATATTGCACAGCTTCTGGAAGAGGTCCTATTCCGCGTCGAGTTGCGCGGCTCCTTCCACACGCACCTCACGTCTCGACCGGCGCAGAGGCTTGCTCGAGATACGGGGAGATACGGGGAGATATGGGGAGATCTGGGGAGATCTGGGGAGATCTGGATCTCTCGAGGCGCGCCTCGAAGAGGAGAGAGAGCAGCTGCCCGGCCAGCTCGAGCCGCTTGTTGCCGTAGTAGTCCATGTCGTCCATGCAGGCGGGGTCGTGCTGCGCCTGCACAACACGCCTCGGGCAGGTCATGGACGTGTCGCGGACATGTCGGTCCTCCGCCGGCGGGGTGCTGCGCCGAGATCATCCGGCGCAGCATCTGCGCGACGAACACCATCTTCGGCCAAAAGTTGTAGTCGACCACCTAGACACTTCCTAGACACTTCCGAGACACTTCCTGACATCTTCGGCCAAAACTTGTCCTCGACCACCGGGACGTGCGCGAGCAGCACGTGCGCCAGCAGCTCGCGCGTCTCCTGTGAGCAGCAGGAAGTGTCTAGGGAGTGTCGAGGGAGTGTCTAGGAAGTGCGCCTGTGAGATCTGGGGAGATCGAGATCTGGGGAGATATGGGCAGCTCGCGCGACTCCCGCCAGGAGAAGAGATGCGGCGGCGGGGTCAGAAGCAGACAGCTGTGACCAGCGCGACAACAGATCGCGCGACTCGGCTGCCATATCTCGGCTGCCATATCTCGGCTGCCATCTCGGCTGCCATCTCGGCTGCTCTCCTCGAGCCGCGAGCGGCGCGGCGTGCGCACGTCTCCGCGAGGGCCGGACCGAATCTTGCGCGAGATCCACTCGAGCGCCTTTGCCTGCGAGAAGATGCCGAGGTGAGAATAGGACTTACTACAGTAGTAGTAGTAGTAGTAGTAGTAGTAGTAGTAGTAGTAGTAGTAGTAGTAGTAGTGCCTGCGAGAAGATGCCGAGCTTGGCGCACTCGTGCAGCGACGCGGAGATGGCGTGCGCAAAGCGAGGCTCCGAGCCGACCAGCTGCACCACCTCCTGGTCCGAGGTGAGGCCCATGGCGCGCAGGAGGACGACGACGGGGATGTCGTCGCCGAAGGTGTTGTGCCGCACCGCGAAGAGGCCGTTCTTGCAGATGATGTGTGTCTTGCTCTTCCGCTCGTGCGTCGACGACGTGACCGCCGAGGTGATGTTGCCCTTTGTGTCCCAGCCGACGATGATCCGGTTCTTGCTGAGCTGCTCCTGGATCAGGATGACCTTCTCCTGCCCCTTGACGATGAAGTAGCCGCCCGGGTCGACGGGGCACTCGCCCATTGAAGCGAGCTCCCGCTCCGACCGACCGTGCAGCATGCACTTCGATGAGCGCAGCATCACCGGCATCCGGCCGACGACCAAGCCGCGCCGCAGCTTGCGCGCAGCGCCGACGGTGTACTCGACGTCCACCTTGATGGGCGCGGAGTAGGTGATGTCGCGCAGCCGGCACTCCTGCGGCGTGAACCGGTCCGACTTCCACGTCCGCTCCGAGTGGAACTCCTGGTCGGACGGCTCGCCGAGCGACACGTTGACAAAGCGGAGGTAAAAGTTGGGGTCGGCGTCGCATGTGACGAGCTCGTTCGCCTTGACGATCTGCTGCATCTCGATCCCCACCAGGTGGTTGTACGAGTCCAGGTGCTGCTTCACCAGCCCGCGAACCTTGAGGAACGCGGGAAGCAGCAACCACTTGTCGGCGACCGAGTCGACGGGAGCCTCGAGCGACGGCCCGCCGAGCAGCGCCGCGCGGGTCTCCTCGTCCTGCCCGTGCAGCGCCGCGTCGGCCTGCGCGCGAAGCGCCTCCGCCATCGGAGGCGCTCGCTCAGCGGCTGCGAGGCTCTCGCAACGAGCCGGGCAACGAGCGGCGACGGCGAGGGCCCCAAAGGGAGAATTTGCGCTCGTATCGCTGGTCCGAGTGAGCAGGCGAGGGACGACGGCGCGAGGGCCCCAAAAGGAGGATTTGCTCGCCACGAGAATTTTACAACTAAACTCCCTCGCACAACACTGGGCACGGGACTGGCGCGCACTGGCACTGGCACTAACACAGGTGACAGGAAACTAGATAGAATTTATTTGCGACTCTCTGTCGTCATCATCTATCTGTCTAGCGTCCACCCATACCGCGTTGGTGTCCAGTCCGAGCCTGGCTGTTCTTCACCTTTCTACCTAACCTAACCTGTCGGCAGCGGGCCCTCGCGCCGCGCTCTCCGACTCTCCGCCCGCCAAGCGGGCCTCCTCCGCCGACTCGTCCGGCTATGACACCGATCTGCCGGACGAGGTGCAGCAGGACGCCTATACTGTCTTGAGCACTTGAGCACTGGATAGGGTCGATTCCGCGTGGTACGGGACCCCTCGATCGTCTCGCCCTCCCTCACTGGAGTGTTCATTGGGGGGGGTCATAACAAACACGGTACAGGATCGAGGTGCACGCTGCCGAAGCAGTGTCGTCCCCCCTCTCCTCGACGGTGATGGCGGTGTGACCGATCGAGCTATACAAGAGGAGCTTGTTCAGCAGGATCAGGGGTGGGCCGAGCACAGTTCTCACTTCCTCAGTGGGTGAGCTTCAGACCTCGGGCCTGCCTCCCCCCTCACCCTTCGGCTCGTGTGGGTTCGAAAACCACCGCCGGGATGGAGGCTTCCTGCTTCCATCTTGAGAGACAGCGCCGCGCATCACCTGTATCAGAGGTTCAGAGCGTCGGGGATGGTGGGCACTGTGTGCACTTTTGTTGTGTGGAGGAGGCCAGAGCGCAGAGGGGGGGGGGGGGGGGGGTTCACCCGGGCGGTAAAATTTCCAAAGCAACTTGGGGGCGTACGTGTGCATTGTTTGCTAGGGTAGACCCCCCCCGCCCATCCGGTTAATTGTCAAAATTCCTGTTGTGCAGAGGGGAGAGGGCTCGGACGGAGCGCGTGGCGGGAGAGGGCAGGGAATGGGCGTGGGGGAGGGAGGGGGGGCTCAGCCGTGCAAAAAGCATCAATTAATAATGTTAATGAAGAGATATTGCTCGGCCGTTCATGAAGTCCGTCTCGATCTGGAGGAGACGGGTAAAGTTTTGAGGACCAGACCACGTTCACATTGTCGTAGCCGGAGAGGATGTTGACCTTTAGCTCTTGGAAGCCAGCCTTCCGCTTTGGGTTTCCCCCCCCCAAACCATTGGGCCAACTTTTACCGAATGCCAAAGTTGCATTTTACCATTCGGGCAAATTCGACGATCGGACGCGGATCCGCCGTGCGAGTTGCAGACCCGGAGGAGGCCGACCCAGCTCATCCCCAGAGAGGCCACATGCCCAAGGGGCAGCCATGTGGGGCCTTTTGGCCAAACTTTTACCACCTCATTTCCCCTGCAGGAGGCGGTCCGCAGGGTCTGCGGCGCGCTCGGCTTAGGGAGCAGTTCGATCGACGCGGCGGTGGCGGCGGGCGAGCTGCTCGAGCTGCTCGAGAGCTTGCCGCGAGAGGCGGTCGAAGCCTCCGTACCGTGCGAGGAAGATTTTGTTGTGAAGTGTCCGAGCGGTCCCGAGCGGTCCCGAGCCGTCCCGAGCGGTCCCGAGGGACCCGAGGGACCCGAGCGGCGCCCGGGGCGGCCCGAGCCGTCCCGAGCCGTCCCGAGCCGTCCCGAGCGGTCCCGAGCCGTCCCGAGCTGTCCCAACGGCCTAGATGCTAAAATTCGACCGGCGGGGGCGCGGCGCTTGGGCCAGCTTCCTGCAGGCGCGGATCAAGCCATGGGAGTATGGTCTTGGGGACAAGGCTTACGTCGGGCAGCGGCAGATCATCACAGAATGGAGGGCCGGAACCTGTCCCTCGAGAAACAACGGTTCAACAAGACGGTGCAGCACTACCGTGGGCGTGTGGAGCACCTCATTGGCCAGGTAGTGGACAACCGTATGGCTCTGTGCACTACGTGGCGTGGCTCGTGCATTCCTTTTCCCTGTTTCTTGTATTGTGAATCGAGGTCTGTGCTTGCTTGTGCGTCTTGCGGTGTGTTTTTGTGTGAATCGAGCTTCTCGAAAGGCGGCGCTTCTTGAGTGATTTAACGAGGCCAAAAAATGGCTGCTCTCTCCGTCGAGGCGCCTCGAACGAAGCCTCCATACCCTGCTGACTGAAGCCGCATCGCCCGCCCACTCCTTACCAAAGCCACCGCACCCACCCTAGGCGCGCTTGCGCGAATCGTCTGGAACGATGAACGGGGAGCCCCGCTGTTGCGGCTGCTGCTGCGGGATGGCTACCGGACTGAAGGCGCGACCGCGCACATGGCCAGCCGCCACCGTAGCCGTTTCCACCGGCACCGCAACCGCCCCACCGCCCCAAGCCGGCGCCGCTCCCACCGCCGGCCGCCGCCGCCGCCACCGTCTCCCTTGGCGCTGCGTCGCCGCCGCCGCCGCACCGCCTCAACCTCGCCCTACCCTCGCTCTGCAGTGGTACCTCGGCGTGTTCCTCGTCCTCTCGATCCTCGGCATCCTCAGCTTCGTCCCAAACTTCGGCAACACCGGCTACCTCTTCGTCATGGACGAGGCTGTCGACGAGGCCAACAAGTACTGCGCGGGCGACGTCAAGTATCTGACCATCGACGACGTCCTCGGGCTCGACCGCGGTCAAGACACTTGCCCCCAGGCGTGCAAGTGCGACGGCAAGCCGTGCGACTTCGACGAGATCTCCACCCTCTGGGAGGCTGAGGCCGGGTTCGGGTTCGCACTCCTCGTCCTCACGATCCTCACGTACGCCGTGGCCTTCACCGGAGCCCTCCAAGAGTCGCCGGCTCTGCTCAAGCCCTTCGTCTACATCATGCCTGCGCTGATGGGTCTGGGGCTCATCACTGGCATCCTGGCCGCCGTCGCCGACACCCACAATCCTGAAAGCGGGGGGTGATGTACGACCCGCCGGACGATTGGAAGTGCTCGCTGAACTCTCAGAGCCGTTTTAT